TATATACATGAAGAGTCTTAGAAGCTTGGCTTGCTTTCCCGATCCTCGATTTCATATCCTCATCAGTTCCGTCCGCCTGTAGTTGAAACGATGCTTCCCAGGTCGGTTGGTCGGTAGGTAGAGGTAGTTCCCTCCTCCAGATTTCTCACATTTATGCTGGCTGATTGTTGTCTGTTGTCTGTTGTCGTTGCTGCTGTTATTGTTGGCCAGGAATCTTCATCATCTCTCTATTCTCTGTGTTCACCTGAAGTCATATCTTTCTTTGATGCCCCTCCTGCCAACTTGTCGCTTTTCATCACTTGCATATCTTCTAGTTTCTGGGAAATAAGACATATATCATCGGCGAAGTCCAGATACTCCACGTTTTTTGTGTGGGTCTATTTTACGCCTGTTTCCTCACTACCCGCTGTGTGTCTGTCTCATTATCCAGTCTACCACAATCAGGATATTAATCATTGAAGATAGTAGGCAGTCAGCCGGCCGGCCGGCCTTGTCTTACTTCCGTCTTCACTTCCAAGGATTCCGTGAGTTTCCCGTCGTGGATTACTTGGCATGAAGCATCATCGAACAACTGTTGGATGAGATGTATAATTGTTGGCGACACACCGTAGTAGCGAAGCGGTTTCCAAATCACCTGTCGATTGACGCTGCACTATCGAAGGCCTTTTTACAAAGTCGATGAATTTGAGGTAGAGAGGTGACTTCCCATCTAAGCTCTGTTCAATTATGACCCGCAGTGTTGAGATCTGATTGATGCATGACTTGTATTGACTCCTGAATCCAGCCTGTTCCGGTCGGAGTTTTCATCCAGTGTGGCGTGTTTGATTCTCTCCAGGATGATGTGACTTCGTATTTTGCTTGGGATGGACAAGACCATAATACCTATCCAGTTCTTGCATTGACTTAAGTCTCCATTCCAATCTTCGAGTCCCTTGCTCTCTTTCCACACCTTCTTCAATGATGGTGTCATCAAGTCCGCTGATGTCTATAGGTCCATTTTCAATGCGTCTGCTGGTATACCGTCTGGTTCTGCTGCTTTTCCAGTTTCTAACATATTTATTTATGTCCACTGGTATTTTAGGCATGAATGAAATTTCAAAAGTGCTTCCCAAGTGCCAAAAGCTTCACTTGTATCTGGCTGTTTGGTGTGTCCCAGTAGCAGGAAGAAACTTAAAGTAAAATCTCACTGTCTTGGAGATGTAAATTTGCCTCAGCTCACTTTTGATATGAACATGGTAAACAAATTCAGGATAGTTTAGGTTATATCTAAACTAGTTAGTAAGGCGAAAAGGAATAAGTTGACAGAAGAAGTAGAAGAGGAGGAGGAGGAGATATAATTCTCAATGAACTTATTCAAGAGAAAGGTGATGGGAATACCTGACTAACAACAACAACAAACACTAATGTCTGTCAACGGGAGAAACATACAACAAGTTCCCTTTTACACTTATCTAGGTGGCATCGTTTCAACTAAAAGCAATGCGAGTGAGAATGTGTAAAGGCAGATCAGAGAAGTAACACAGTCTTGAATTACTCTGAAATCTGTTGAATTCAGTATAAGGAACAAGATTCAGATCTTCAATACTAGTTCCATTATGGATAAAATTTATTTTGATAAAGTCTTACAGTGTTTGTTATACAGCAATATTTACTGATGACAACCACGTTTCGAGCACAAATTATTGTTCATAATCATATCAAGGTATTCACCCAAACAACATCCTAACTTCGTTTATGTGGTTCCATTATTTTTCATCGCTTGACTTGATTAGTAGTAGTAATTTCCATATTTCCGGTATGCGTAATGAGTCATTGCTATTGTACGTGTTGGGTGTAGATTCACTCGATGAACAAAGATTCAGTAATCAACCTTCCTCACTCTCTATCAATGTATATTACTTATTGGGATTTTAACCCTCTCCCACCCACCCTATTGTGCAGTGCTATAGTTGAGATTTTTTTAAAATTACTTATCTTCGCGGGGTCAATCATTCAAACTCTAGCTAAATTCTTATGTTCTGACAGGCACTCTGACTACCCCCGATCTACTAGTTTGACTTATGTAGTCGACCTAACTCTCAGTCATTACAAGGTATTTTGTATATTATATCACATTCTGTTTAATTGGTTCGGCAGCGTCCTTTAGCCTATAGAGCTTAACTTTGAGTGAGTTTATAGGTTTGAATGCTACCCTAATTCTTGCTTTGTTGAGAATTCTACGTAGGGCCTCAGATGTCCCCTTCTTATATGGTAGAACTGCAAATGCCTTATATTCTCTCTTATTTATGTTATCATTATCAGTTTCCCCGTTATTTTTGTTTTGTTTTTGGCCTTTGCTGATCTTCCTAAGGAATTTTGTAGGATAGTTAGTTATTTGATACCAACGCTTCTTCTATCTGTTTTACTTCACTATTTAAGTCTTTTTTGTGCTACTTAGTTCTACTGCTCGGTTTGTTAGACATTTAACTAAGACTGACTTAACAGTTAATGGATGAGATGAATTAAAGTCTAAATATCTATTAGCAGAATGCGTTGGCTTTTTATAAACTCTAGTGTAATATAGTAATGCAGGTGGGTGGAGAACGAGGGAGGTTGATTACTGAATTTTTGTTCATCGAGTGAATCTACACCCAACACGTCCAATAGCAATGACTCATCACGCATACCAGAAATATGGAAAATACTACTATCAACCAAATCAAGCGATGAAAAGTACTCATAGGATAATATAAACGAAGTTTGAAAGTTGTATGGGTGGTTACCTTGATATGATTATGAGCTGTGGGTATAAATTGTGCTCGAAACGTGGTCGTCATCAGTAAATATTACTGTGTAACAAACACTGTGAGACTTTATCAAAATAAATTTGACCCTTAATTAAATTATACTCTATCACAGTTCATGAGTTCTGTTCTTACTTCAATATTAGTGTACTTTTGTGCAGTTCAGAGATTTCCTGCGTCAGGGAAAGCTTTTCCAACAGTCTGCTGTAGGCTTTTATCAACAAATGACTTCCATCTATACACCGAAGATCAGATCGTTAGAAAAGTTGAGCAACATGGAAAAGAGTTTATGTGAAGAAACAGAAAATTTTATAAGCATTCGTGGAGATATACCGTTAGAGGAATTTATTCCACTCGAAATCTGACGGAAGTAATAATAATAATAATAATAATAAACTGGTAAGGCTATTTCGCCTAAGCCGCATCATCCTGGAAAGAATCAAACACGCCACACTGGATGGAACACTTCGACCGGAACAGGCTGGATTCAGGAGTCAATGCAAGTCATGCATCAATCAGATCTCAACACTGCGGGTCATAATTGAACAGAGCTTAGATGGGAAGTCACCTCTCTACCTCAAATTCATCGACTTTGTAAAAATGCCTTCGATAGTGCAGCATCGTTCGAGAGGTGATTTGGAAACCGCTTCGCTACTACGGTGTGTCGCCAACAATTATACATCTCATCCAACAGTTGTTCGATGATGCTTCATGCCAAGTAATCCACGACGGGAAACTCACGGAATCCTTGGAAGTGAAGACGGAAGTAAGACAAGGCCGGCCGGCCGGCTGACTGCCTACTATCTTCAATGATTAATATCCTGATTGTGGTAGACTGGATAATGAGACAGACACACAGCGGGTAGTGAGGAAACAGGCGTAAAATAGACCCACACAAAAAACGTGGAGTATCTGGACTTCGCCGATGATATATGTCTTATTTCCCAGAAACTAGAAGATATGCAAGTGATGAAAAGCGACAAGTTGGCAGGAGGGGCATCAAAGAAAGATATGACTTCAGGTGAACACAGAGAATAGAGAGATGATGAAGATTCCTGGCCAACAATAACAGCAGCAACGACAACAGACAACAGACAACAATCAGCCAGCATAAATGTGAGAAATCTGGAGGAGGGAACTACCTCTACCTACCGACCAACCGACCTGGGAAGCATCGTTTCAACTACAGGCGGACGGAACTGATGAGGATATGAAATCGAGGATCTGGAAAGCAAGTGACGGTTTCATTGCTCTGAAGTCTGTGTGGAAATCAACAGCAGTCATCATGAAAAGAACTTCGGGATTTTCAACCCCAATCGGAAATCAGTGGTACCTAATACACAGATCAGAGTATTGGCACGTCATGCAGAGCACGTCAAACAAACTGCAGACGTTCATCAACAGTTGTCTTCACTCAATACTCAAGATCAAATGATCAGGAAAGATCAGCAACATGGTTTTCTGGCAATAAGCGAGCCAACCCAGCAGGAACCGATTGTGCAAGAAATATGTAAGAAGAGATGGAGGTGGATTAGAGGCCATACTCTGAGAAAACAAACCATCAACTGAGTGACATCACACGTAAGGCCATCACTTGAGTAGAACCCTAATAGGAAGCGGTGATTCACCTGGTCATCAGTGCGAGGGTGGGGTTACATGGGGGAGGTCTTGCAAGGGGGAGTAGATGAAAGCATGTGGGCAGACGTGGAGCCAGGTAATGAGAACGTTTGTGGAGAACCGAAGGGAATGAAGACATATGGTTGAAGCCCTATGTTCCTCTAGGAAGTAAAGGAAACAACAATGCTAATAATAAGAATAGATAATGTCACTGCTTTTCTAGTGACCAATTTGTCTTCCTCTCACATTGTTTCTGATTAAATTTCTCTATAAAATCAGCTTACTCTTATAAATTATTACAACTGTTCAGCGCATATTCACATTCAATTGAAGGTTGCACCATATTGATTATTCTTCATATTGTCATTAGACTCATTAATAAGTTATTGGAAGACAGATAGAGTGAAACTCACATGAAATAGACAGAAAAAACAACAATAAGAATGACCTACTTAATTTAAATTCCTTTATGAATTCTCTTTTTTTCTGCTTTATTGATATTTTGTGTAAATAGAAGGTGTATGGTATGGTATAATGAATAGCTTATATGCACGACTAATTATAAAAAAATGATGAATATGAATTCATGAACAGACGGTGATGATCGCTTTACCGACCGATTCATCTTCAGAAATTCTACACCATATACACCATAGTTATATGATCTTATGTGCAGTCCAGTCAACGGTTAGTAGAAGTAAAAAAAAGTCAATGGGATACACACATACACACACACACACCCATACCCAGAAGCGTCTACAGACATCCATACACACTCAAGTGAGTACACAGATACAGAATCTATATTCACACAATAGTAGTGTTCAGTGCATACTTCTAGTTAAGTAACTTTGGATATTTTCTTTGCTCTAAACAGGTAGCTTTAATTTATATGTGAAACCGTTTGCATCGGATTTCAGTCAGTCAATCAATTATCATTGAATAAGATAACGTATACACTAAAAGAATATAAATCTACACATATTATCGATTCTGGTATTCATATTTGGTGTTTTAGGGTGAGTTCCATGCATGTTCTATTATTATGATTATTACTGTCATTACTATGGTTGCCATTATTATTATTATTATTGTTACTTATTCCATGAATTACGAGTGGAGCCTAAGGCTTCAGTGACTCATCTTCATCACACTTCCTGTTTTGCTTTCAGTATCACTTTTAACTGGCCCCATGACTGCCTACATACTTTTATTTCATCTTTACATTATGTTCTCCAGGTTTTGTTTTCATTCCACAGGTTCTCATCAGCCAACTGCAAACTACCTGAAATTGCAATGGTTATAAATAATAACATTTCATACTTAATTGTTTGAAAGGTAATAGAGAAAACATTATAAGTTGAACGCATCCAGAATATCAGTATTACAATTTTTAGTTTAAGTTATTATTATTATTGTTCCCTTGGGTTCCTATTGGAACATACGGCTTCAACTGCACGTCTCCACTTGCCACTTCTGTCTTCCTTCTGCTGTACTTTTCATCTGCATCTATGTTAGTCCATACTGTCTCAACTCCTCTTCACACGATCTCCTCCATTTCACCCTTGCACTGACGTCCCACTCACCGCTTTCCTTTCGGCCTGGTTCCACTCGAGGAATGGCCTGACGCGCGCACGATGTCACCCGGCGGCCTCCTCAGCGAGTGTCTAATCCATCTTAATCCATCTCCTGCATATTTGTTGGCTGGAGATTGCTTCTTGTTTTGTTCGTTCCCATAGTTTCTTGTTGGTGATTCTTTTCGGCCCAGCCATCTGATCTTCAGTACAGAGCGAAGACAGTTGTTGGTTGATAAAGGTCTGCAACAGGCTGTTGGAAATATTCTTTGTGACCCACCCGCCAGGTTTCTGATCCGTATAGAAGAACTGACTGACTTGACGTTGTTTGTATTGAAAATCCGACCGAATTTTGTTGTTGATGCTGAGTGACGAAGATTTCCAGATTGGTTTCAGGTTGATGAGTGAATGTGTTTCTCGCCTGCCTTCCCGATTCTAGCTCGATTTGACATCCTCGTCCGTTCCGACTGCCTGTAGTTGAGACAATGTTCAATGCTAGATAAGTGAGTGAATGAAGTAACCTCTTTCAAATCCCTCGCGTTGATGGTGATTGAAGCTGGATGTTTCTGCTGTTGTTGTAGTTGTTGTCGGTTGGTTGTTTTCATAACCTCCGTCTTTTCTATGTTCACCTGGAGTCCTGTCTTCGCTGGCTGCTTCTTCGACCAGTTTGTCGGTCGGTTTTTGCTTGTGAGTCTTCGATTTTGTGACAGTGACATCAAACATAAATCATCCACGCACGAAATCCAGGTCTTCTAGGTTCTTCACGTCAGTGGTCCAGGATATCCCTGTCTGCTTCTCGTTTCTCACTCACTGTCTGACGCATAATCCAGTCAGTCCACCACAATTAGGAATATCATTGGTGATAATAAGTAGCACCCTTGTCTGACTCATGTGTTTACTCTAAACACCTCACTGAGTTTTCCGTTGTGGATCACTTGACATGTACCGTACATGTGTCGTACAGCTGTTGAATAAGGTTGGTGAATATTTGGGGTAGACCGTAGTACTCGAGTAGTTTCCAAATTACTTCGCGGTCAACGCTGTCTGTCGAAGGCCTTCTCAAAGTCTATAAAGTTGAGATAGAGGTTTGATTGCCATTCCATGCTTTGCGCGATGATGATGCGTAGAGTTTTAGTTTGGTCAGAACATGATTAAGTTTAAGTTACCATCAATTTATATGCTATCAAACTATGAAAAAAGTGTGAAGGGGGGTGGTGAGAGAAGACAGAAAGCAGAAAAATCTAATAAAAAGTGTTAGCTTGTACGTTAAAAATGGCAACTCAAGAAGGTTGAAGTACATCAAATTGAAAACTTGTTTAGTGAGCTGAGCTCACTAGTGTGTATGACTAATCAAAGTGTAATGAAATTAATACGATTACCAAGGAAGTGAGTGAGAGATTGACTACACTCTCCTTCTGTGTGCATAAGTTTGGTCTGAGAAGTTTGATTGCAATTGCTTCAGCAAATCGTAGTAGATTCATTGTCCTTTGTATGTTTAATATTTTGAAGGATTTTGAAATCTCGACAAAATGACCCGCATCCACATGGTGGGTGTCTGGTAATTGCACTTTGTAAAAATATCTGCTTCCTTTTAAGCATAAGTTTCTTGGAATATACTCTGAAAACCGGATAGAAGCCATTCTTTCTGTCCTTCGAATATATCTGCTGCCGCAGGCGCACATGCACTTTCAAACAATGAAGTATGAAATATTATTATTTATAACCATTGTAATTTTAGTTATTTTGCAACTGATAAGATCCTGTGGAATAGAATGATAATATCCTTGAATACTGCAAATCTGGTCTGTCTTTCTCCATCGAGATTTATCAAGGGAACCAAATGTATGAAATTTTCTTTCATTTCTTCACGTTCCCAGTGTAACATGCGGCTTCAAGCTAGAGACTTAAAGTTTTTTTAGGAGCGTTTATTTTTACAGGATTTGGTTGCTAGCCTCATGCCCAACCTTTCCTCTTTACCAGCTTTATTACTGGCTTAGCGAGGTAAGAAAGTACGTCAGTGGCCGAGGATCGAACCTCGGACTACACGCGTGGTCGGCGAGCATTCGACCACTGCACCACCGATGCAGTGTTCTACAGATAGTTTTCGCCTATTCAGAAATTTCATACGTTTGGTTCCATTGATAAGTTTCAATACAGAAAGAAAGACAGAGCAGAATCGCAGTTTAAAAATGTGATATCATCATTCTATTTCACAGGCACTCATCAGCTGCTACAAACTTCCCTGAAATTACAATGGTTACAAATAATGACAATAACATACTCACAATATAAATTATTTAAAATAATCCCAGCGTGTTTAAGAAAAAAAATGAAAACAAGATTCTCCTGAACGTCTCTCTGTCTAAGTTAAATCTTCTTCAGCAGAATGTGAAAGGTAGGATCAAAAAGGCAACATAGACCTAAACTGTGCTCAAATTATTCCAGGAAACATACTTCAATGTTTGAATAGTAGTAAAGAAAACATTAAAAAGTCAACGCATCAAGAAATATAAGGAATACAATTTTTGATTTAAGTTACCATCAGTTTCTATGCTTTCAGAATAGAAAAGGACTGGGACGGGAGAAGAGAAATCTAATAAACAGTTTTAGCATGTAGGTTTACATCACAACTCAAGAAGGTTATAGTTCATAAAATCGAAAACTTACTCAGGGATGGATGACTAACCAATGTAATCAGAATGTAGTTGTTACCAAGATAGTGAGAGATTGATTACACTCTCTTTCTGTATACCTCATGAATTTAGTTGGAAATGCTTGACTGCAAATCGTAGTATGTTATTGTCATTATTTATAACTATTGCAATTTCAGGGAAGTTTTCAGCAGCCGATGAGAACCTGCGAAATAGAATCTGATAAATCTGATCTTTCTCTCTTTCTCCATTGAAATCCTCGCCTAGTGTACTATCTTGTGTTGGTTTAAAAAAACAAAGGAAAGCTGAGCGTAGAGAAGCTGTCCTATTTATTCAACTGCTACAGAAACTTCAAACGACTCTCTTGGAATCGGAAAGATGAAATGACGCGGTTTGGTGAGAGCCCCGAGAAATCAGTCAGCCGATATGCCTCCTGTCGATAAAAGAGAACATGAGTATCGGAAGATGGAACGTACTCAGGATGTTTAAGACTGAGAAGGCTACCCAAATTGTAGAAAAGTGGTGGGGAATGGTGGGATGGAATGGAGGTGAACTCTCCAAATTGTTAACTGCTGAGTCAATAATCTACTCCGGTCGGCTAGATGAAAATCCGATGATGAACACGGCAGCAACAACAACAGACAGCAGACAACAATCAGCCAGCATAAATGGGAGAAATCTGAAAGAAGCTACCTCCTTTACTTACCCACCTCACTGAGAAGCACCGTTTCAACAACATGCGGACGAAACTAATGAGGATATCAGAGCGAGGATCGGGAAAGCAAGTCACGTTTTCATTTCTCTCAAGTCTCTGTGAAGATTTACGGCATGAAAACAACTTCGGGATTTTTAACTTTAATGTCAAGTCAATGCTACTTACTACACGGACCAGAGACTCGTCGCCACACCGCGTCACAAAGGCCACTTCGAACAAACTACACATTTTCATCAACACTTGTCTCCGCTCAATACTTCGCTCAAGATCAGATGGCCGACCAGAAAACATCAGAAACAGGATTTCTGGGAGCATAAGAACCAGGAACCGATTGTGCAAGGAATATTCATGAAGAAATGGATGTGTATTAGCTTTACTCTAAGAAAACAAACCATCAAGTGAGTCACATCACACGATGGGCCTTCACTCGAATTGATCCCGAGCGGTAGGCGGTGAGGTGGTCGCCAGTGTGAGGGTAGGTTGACATGGAAAAGTCATTTGAAGAAGAGATGAAAGCATGTAGGTAGACGTGGAGACAGGTGATGAAAACGTTGGTAAGGAACAGAACGCAGTGGAGTCGTGAGGCTGAAGACGTTTCTTCCTTCAGGAACTAAATAGTAATAATGACATATATCGCGCACAGGAAAACAGTATTATGATTTACTGGATGATGGAGTTTCAAACACAATTCAGTATTGTTCATGATCATATCAATTATAACTACACAACTGGGAAACTTTCGTCCTGCAGTTTCCTTCATTTCTCTCAATTCCTTTTGGGGGTAGTGGAATTTTCCAGATGTCGAGGTGGAGAGGTGGGGAATCACTTCTACGATACGTATTTTTATTCAGTTCGATAAAAAAAGCTTCCATTATCTATCTCTCCTTGTCTCGAACATCTGAGAAATTCTGCTACCCCTACAAAGAATAAAGCTAGAGCTTTGAAGATTCGGTTGAAACGGTGTTTTATTTTTACGGGGTACGATTGCCAGCCTCATGCCCAACCTTTATTCTTTACCGACTTAGCGAGGTAAAACGGTTCATCAGCCCCGGGGTCGAACTCTGAACCATATGCGTGGCTAGCCGACATTCTACCGCCGAACCACTAACAGGATATGTCCAATAAACAAATCAATATGGAACGTGCTACTCATATGACGTTTATATATATCTCAAAATGCTCATTAAGAGACCTTACACTTCTAAATACTCAATGCAGTTCATGCCAATGAAATTCCAACTAAACTTTTAAAATTGATAAAATGTTTGTAGAATGCTTAACATTTTAAAATGTACTGTCATATTGATTTTTATATTTTCTTCCAGATAAAGTTGACCAGTAATCAAAATGCAACTTCGAATAACCTTAATCTTCATAATCCATATGGTACTTGTTAAATCACAAAGTGAAACAGACACAGTGTTAGTTAGCACAGAACCCATGCATGAAGACATTTCGGTAGAAGGTGGTGGTAGGTTGATTTGTTCATTATTACATTTTGATAAATTAATTACGGTTTTTAAAAAATCAATTAGTGGTCTTTGAGCTGCTAATAGAAATCACGTTTTTGTCTTCATTAATGTTCAATATACCTTGGATAAGTGGGCTCTACCAAGTTGGATGTGGGGGCAGTTATTCGCTGACAACATTGGCTGGTAGTCATGCTATCCTGTGGGTTGGCAGAAGTTACAATTGATGGGCGAATAGATTCTGTCCCATTGACTGAATGGTATACGAGCTCTCCATATAACCTAACATACCTAAGGTTCGATGCTTGACGACTGGATCATAAGTGTGTGCTTCCAAATAGGGAGTTCCAAAGTTCCAAATAGGGAGAGTAGAGCTGTCCAATACTCCCTGGTATTCAAGAGTTCTCTAGTTGAAGTTAATTCATGATCGATCATGAAAAAATGTAGGAATTTATAGAATCACTTCTCATTGAAAAAATTCCCTTAAGATAATGGTGACATAGTATACTAATGATTGGAATGAATAGTTATATCGAAGTGATATAAACACCGGAATGCTATTTTACTCTTTCGGGGACGAGCTTGTCAGCGGTATATACCCTGTTCAACTTAGTTTAGACCGCCGAATCAGATCAAATCACGAATTAATTTACAAATTACAAATTTAACTCAACCTGGTTTCTCCTTTTGTGCAAAAAACGAACACAGAGTATTGGTTTGTAGGGATTTGGTTGATTGGTTACAGCGTTTCATCATGAGCTGACATTGGTTAGAGAACCATTGGAAAACTTGGGAGTACTGGGTAGCTGTTTCGTCCTAGTTAGGAACTCTTCACAGTACGCACTCACCCATCTCCAAGGTCCGAACCCAGGACCTTCTGGTTACAAGGCGAGCTCGTAGACCATTAAGTTGGAATTCATAGGCCATTGGATCGGTTCCCAGTGGCTTAGTGGTCTACGAGCTCGCCTTGTAACCAGATGGTCCTGGGTTCGGACCTTGGAGATGGGTAGGTGCGTACTGATGAAGAGTTCCAAACTAGGACGAAACAGCTACCCAGTACTCCCAAGTTTTCCAATGGTTCTCTAACCAATGTCAGCTCATGTTAAAATCCTGTAACGAATACACAGAGTATTACCTAAATAAAGTTAAGTCATATTTTCGTCCACTTTGAGTGCAAAGCTTAAAATATAAGGAAAGCATGTTTTGAATACTCATCATATGCTTATATTAATGTGGTTTTTCACTGACTATTCATAAGTATGTATACTTATATACATGCATGTCAAATATGCACAGGATAATGACAACACCAACAATAGGGAATATAAATCATCAGTAGTACCTGCATAAAAGGCAGGAAGGAACCTCAGAAACCACCTTAAGGAGAATTTTTAACAAGGCAGAAATAAAAGTATCCGGGATTCAAACCCACAAATTCAATTAGAAATAAGCCTTGTCGGTTAAAGCGTTGATCCTGTAGAGCCACTTAAACAAAACAATTTAGTTTATCTAATACCTTACCTGCAGTGATTGTCAGGTCAAATACATAAGTCAAAGCAGTAGGATAGGGTCGATCAGACCTAGTAAAATCTAGATTAGTTGACCCTAATAAGATTAGAAATCCTGGAGAATAGTTCAGGTATCCCACTCACTAGATCCGATTTCACACAACCATCTGACAGGATGATGGGATAAGATGACAGCCTTTAAATCGAATGTAAGAAGGTGAGGGCGAGAGAGATTGATGACTAACTGAAGCTTTATTTATCGAAACAACTGAGGAGAATATGTGTGATAGAAATGATTCAACACCTGTCCACTCGGATATCTGGAAAATTCTACTACTCCTACAAAGTACAGAAAGAAATAAGGGAAACTACAAGAAGAGAATTTCGAAGTTATGTGACTATAATTGATGATATGATTATGAACAGTATTGAATTGTTTAACTGATTTGGATTTTCTCGTCAATTGAGTGGACTGAAGTGCTTGATCTCAGGTTGACACATCGGCTTATTGTGCAGATGCTTCGACGATTACCTGGGCATGTAATTAGAGATTGATTTGGTGGATGCTGGCTAGCAGTGGAATCCAGGATGGGCATTTCGTCCTATTTGGGACTGGTTATCTGGATGTACCTGCATTCCATAGTGAGTGGATAACGCTTTGGCGTCTGAAACTATGGGCCATGGGTTGGATCCTCGTTGCAGAATGCAGGTACATCCAGATGACGAGTCTCAAATAGGACGAAATGCGCATCCTAGATTCGACTACTAGCCACCATCCACCAAATCAACCCTTTAGTGTTGAATTGTGTTTGAAACTTTGTCATCCAGTCAATAATGATAGTGTTTCACTCTGTGTGATATTTGTCATGATCAAATTAGCACGGAATTCACTGACCATTCATAAGTATACCTGATATCATTCAAATAGATTTACTGTTGGAACTGTTTGACTGAATTGGTAATGACTGTTGTCACTATAAGTCCACCAGAGGCTTATTTTCTTTTGAGTTTGATTCCAGTACCTTCTGACACAATCTCAGACAGAGGAAGAGGAGCTTAAAATACTGAATACTGACGATGATCTTGAAAAACACAGATGTGTAAATACTTAGGATCAGTGGAAAAATGAAAGTTAACATTGGTAATTATGGGTATAATAACTTGTGTAACTAAATGCACAGAGTGAACATGTACAGTTACCTGTAGGTGGAAATATCTGTAGTAGCCTGAATTTGGCGTTCTGAAATTGAGTTGATAAATCAAACTGAAAACTGAGAATAGAAAAAGTTGGATTTTGAAAGGGTTTCAAACCGTAGTGCCCTACTGAAAGACGTCATCTCATCACTGCCATCATCTAGGGGTTTTGTCTAGTTTCCATCTAGACGAGTTACACTTGACTTTCCACTGAACACCATTGTGAGTACTCATCAGGCCTTTCATTTGTTCAAGTATTGATTTTTGTAGGGATTTTGTTTGATTGGTCAGAGGATTTCATCATGAACTGTCATCTGTTAGAGAACCATCCGAAAACCAGCTGTCAGTATTGTCTGTCTCTCTGTTTTCGACATAGAACTTTGCACAAATGTGCACCAGTTCAAGTCGCCACACTCCCTCCATGTAGCACACAAAGCAAGAGAAGAAAGTAGAAGAAATACATAATAGAGACAGTAAACAGAGGTGTGAGTCAAAGGAATAGTAGTAACGAAGAACAATATAGTTTCATTGGAAATCATAAGTGACATGGAGTGGATGCATCTGCACCAGCCAGTCATTGAAAACGATTTTGAGCCCTATCACCAATTGTTTCCATCCTCCATTGGTTTTTACCGTCTAGAGGATCCCAACCAGTCAGGAAGTCTACACGTTCCTACGTGGCTTAGACTAACTGTTGTGGATTTCATTGACTGATGAAGCCATCCATGTTTTGGTTTGATCGCCGCTAGCTCTTTTCCAGCCTGACCCTATGTCAGCTGAAATTGCCCGTTGTCGAAGAAGGTGATGACTAGGCATATGTAACACATGTCCCAACCATCTCACTCGATGTAATTTCACAGCCTCGTCAACTGATTTCCCCTCCTTACCTAGAACTCGATGCCTAACCTCAATATTGCTCACTTTATTATACCACTTCTCACGGGAGATAGAGCACAGGCACCTATGATCGAAGACAGCTAGCCAGCCTTTTCATGTCTTTCACTCTCAATGGCCAGGTCTCGCAGCCATAAAGGAGGACGGAGCGGACTGATGAGTAGTACACCTGTCCTTCGGTCGATACCCGGATATCACGTCTACTAAGCCAGGGACGGCGTAAACTGGCATATGCGTAACTAGCCTTCTGTATCCGTGCTGAGATTTCGTCAGCAATCAACCCGTTGTGGTTGATGGTACTTTCCAAATAAGCGAGGCGGACAACGTGCTCTACCACTTCACTTCCTATTTCTGTGAGTATTGGGCGACTGTTTCGTCCTAGTTTGGAACTCTTCACAGTACGCACCCACCCATTTCCAGGGTTTGAACCCTGGACCTTCTGGTTACAAGGCGAGCTCGTAGAACAGTAAGCCACAAGAACCCACTCCAATGGCTAGACCGTGAATTTCAAGTCATGACATAGCGCGACCACTTCGCAATGTCTTTTTCAATGAGTTACTGCCTCACTTTCAACCTGCTGCACTCTGATGATCACGGCTTTCCACTAGAACTTCAGGTTAACTGCCTGAATAGGGCCAGTCGCTAGTGAGCATCAGATCGATTTCCAGTTATTCATTTTTGTAAGGCTTATGTTTGATTGACTGGAGTTGAATAATTAAGATGAGCGGGTTGTCAGTTGTTGGTTAGACTATCTAGTTTGGCCTTCGGTTGGTAGACATAGGCAGTCAGAAATGTATAATTACAGTGGTGAATTTTAATTAGGAATTGACTTGAATTAGGGAACAATTAACAAACAGGAAATAATCTTTAAATATTCCCATTATAAATATTAAAACAATACATATAAGCGAACAATTTTGTTGTTTTCAATTAGATCTTCTTCAGGGTTAACTCTAATTTACATAGATTTATATATACAAAATTTTAATCAATGACGGTGAGTTTGTGGATCAAATAATAGTAATAATAATGATGTGGTAAATGTTTTGAACGTCGTTAATAACGATGATTATAATGATAACAAAATATTGATAATAAGGTTTATGCAGGTGGCCATAGGATTAACGAAGGTAGTAATATATAGACAATTCAATAAATAAATAAATTAGGTCAAATCCTAAAAGTTTCTTAATATTAAAGGTGGAGTGGACGGATAATCAGAGTTTAAATGAATATCATAAAAGTACGAAGGAAATGAAAAATAAGTAAGAATGGGAGGGTTTTAAACAGAATTTACCTAGGCCAATGCGAAACACAAAGTTAGAAGAAACTTCCTTTGCAAGCAAAGACACTGGGATTATTCTGTCGAATTCGCATAGCTTCGGCTATGTGTAAAAGGCTGGTTGAAATTCCGTTCGAAAGGTTCAGTGGAATTCGATAGATAATTTTGTAGATACTTCTTCTTTCCACTTGGTTGCTGTCATCAATCAGATGAGACCAAATAGAACTTATTATTGATTTTATTTGGCCTTTTCCAAACAATGAAGGAAGATGCTCATTTAATACGTTTTTTGAGCTGTCTAGTTATTCGGCCTATTTAACTTTCTCCTGAGGAGCAGCTAAATGTATGAATGGAAATAGAAGTAGCACAGCTAGGCAGCTTATCCTTCGCTTGAGCAGTCATAATAGATAGGCTGGAAAATGACAAACAAAGAGTGGAGGCATTTTAAGTCTGTCTTATGGCTGTAGATAGTCTTAGACGTAGGACTTTATTAGTCATGCATCCATTCAAACTAAAGTTTCATTAGAGATTGTTTCTTTCCAACCTTGGTTGGTTTATCTTTACTATACATAGTATTCATGTGTCTCCTTTACAAATCTACTGGGACCAGCGTATTTACGATGTATCCCAGATCATTTTCTAGGGAGTCATCTGTACAGAACCTTCTTGCCCTGTGTGTGTAGCATCTGACCGAATTGATTTTATATCGGACTAGTACAAAACTGAAGAAATGTGTATATTGTCTTACAGACGTAGGTTTTCTATAGACATCTCTCTTAAGTGAACCATCCTCTCTTCTGCTCAACTGGACATCAAGGAACTGTAGTCTACCATCATGTTTTTCTTCACATGTGAAGATGAGCGATGGATGTGAATTGTTCAGTTTTATTAACATTTAATTCTTGTCAGCTTTCTCATTAAGAATAGACAACTTTCAAGCTTATCAAGAAAAAAACCTGCCGAAAGTGGACCTGGTGAAGAACCCATGGCAGCACCGTCGATTTGTTTGTAATGAAGATTGTTGAATATGATAATAATAATTTTTCCTTCACGTTCCCCAGTGGAACATAGGGCTTCAAGCTAGTAGCTTGCAGTTTCTGTAGCAGAGTTTATTTTACAGGATGGGGTTGCTAGCCTCATGCCCAACCCTTCCTCTTTACCAGAATTATTTCTGGCTTAGAGAGCTAAAGGTGTGCGCCGGCCGGGGATCGGACCCCAGACCATGTACATGGTCGGCGAGCGTCCTAACCGCTATACCACCGACGCACTGTTGAATATGAAGTGTGGATTTATAGTGTATGTTAGAAGCAGCTCTTTGAAATTAATGATTCGAATTCCAATATCTAACTGCTTTTCTATTATTTGTTGGCATATGAATTCCATAAGTGGTACATTGATGAACAGTGATGCGACATCTAAAGGTAGCATTTGCTTCCCATTTACACTGATATCATATATGCTGGAATTGAATTCAAAGACGGCTTTAACACTGTGATTGACCAAATTTTTGTGTAACAGATGAACAAGTTCACCTAACCACTTTACCACTCCATGGTAGATGGAATTAAACAGGTTTAGGACTGGGCGAAGAGGTAGTCCTGGTTTGTGTACTTTATGCAGACCATAAAATCTTGAAGTATTACTTCAAGTAGGTTTAAGACGGTTGTAGGCTACCTCTGAGATTACTTCACTTTTCCTCAGTTCCTTGAGAGTGTTTGTTAGCTGCTTTTCAGCCTTTCCGTCCAGATCTGTTGGACTGCTAAGCTTTTGGAATTTCGTTTCATAGGTTAGAAGCGAATTCATTTTGTCAATGTAATGATACTTACTCATCAGTGCTATTCCGACTGTCTTAACAGGCATACTGATCATAATGTTCTCATTGTTCCTTAACTTTCTTACGGCTTGTCGATGCTATTTAGTCAGCAGGCTTTTGCTAGAATGATTACTGTTTTTATATAGCTGACAACTGTCGACTAGTGTAGTTTTAAGTCTGGCAACTTCAACAGGAAATACTGTAGGGCTTTTTTGTTTCCGTTCGCAGACTTTTCGTTAGTATGCACTGTTGATGCCACCGGGGATCGAATCCATGTGAGCTTTTGAACCATACACCCTCTGAAATGGGATTCATTGACTGACCAATGAATTCTAACTTCTACCAGTTTAGAATATACAGCGCAATCATCTGCCGGTGTTTTTGTTGAATATGATGTCTTCAAGCACAACTCGATGGACCTAGCTGGTTACGATTTCTAACTGAAATTTCAGTGACTTAATGGTATTACTTAGGTATCCGAAATTGGCAGGCATCAAGTGCTCCGCTGTTGTTTTCAGTGTTTCTTTAACTGAAGCCATGTTGGGGTTGTGTTTTATTATTATTATTGCTTCCTTTAGTTCCTAGAGGAACATAGGGCTTCAGCCGCACATCTCCATTGCGTTCGGTTCTCTGCCAACGTTTTCATCACCCGGCTCCACTTTTTCCCACATGCTTTCCCCAATGTTGTCACCCTCGCACTGACGACCAACTGAATAGCCGCTTCCCATTCGGGTTCCACGCGAGTGATGGCCTGGCGTGTGATGTTACTTACTTGGTGGTTTGTTTTCTCAGAGTATGGCCAGTCCAATCCACCTCCATTTATTCGTGCAAATTTTTTGCACAATTGGTTCCTAATGGATTGGTTGGTTAGCTGACTGCCAGAGATCCCTGTTGCTTATCATCTTTTATGGCTGGCCGTCTAATCTTGACCGAAGTATTGAGTGGAGACAGCTGTTGATGAATGTCTGTAGTTTGTTGGAAGTGGCCTTCGTCACGCCGCGTGGTATCAAGTCTCCGATCCGTATAGTAGCACTGACTACACATTGGAGTTAAAAATCCAGATCTCATTTTTCATTCTGAGTGGTGCTGATGGTCTCCACACAGATTTGAGAGTAGTGAGTAGTGAAAGCTTGACTTGCTTTCCCGATCCTCGCTTTGATTTCCTTTTTAGCTGCGTCCACCTGTAGTTGAAACGATGCTTCCCAGGTAGGTAGGTAGGTAGTTGAAGGAGGTTTCTTCTTCCAGATTTCTCCCATTTATGCTGGCTGATTGTTGTCTGTTGTTGTTGTTGTTGTTGCTGCTGCTGCTGTCGTTGTTGGCCAGGAATCTTCAACACCACATCGGTTTTCTCTATGTTCACCTGAAGGCCTATCTTCTCTGGATGCTTCTTCTGCCAACTTGTTGTTTCTCATCACTTGCATATCTTACAGTTTGTGGGAAATCAGACATATATCATTGGCATATCAAAACTATTACTATTCTTACTATCATTATTATCACTGTCGTTATAATCTAGCGTAAACCATTTTACTAGAGCCCACTGTAATAAACAAAACCACGATATTTAAGTGTTGGTTTGTAGGGATTTGGTTGGTTTCAGGATTTCATTATGAGTTGACATTAGTTAGAGAACCATTGGAAAACCTGGGAGTACTGGACAGCTGTTTCGTCCTGGTTGGGACTCTTCAGCATACTGCGTACTGCTGAAGAGTCCCAACCAGGACGAAACAGCTGTCCAGTACTCCCAGGTTTTCCAATGGTTCTCTAACTAATGTCAACTCATGATGAAATCCTAAGACCACGATATCTTCTGCTTTTTGATGTTTATCCAGTTCGATGTATACTTATTTATGCATAATACATATTCACGATACCATTATAATATATATGCATATATATCCTTTCTATTCTGACAGGTTTAAAACCGCTAACAATCGTTTTTATTGTCATCGGTTGTGTCATAATTATCACGGCTATTTTAGCCGTCTACTTTATACGACGAAGAAGACGAACTGGCAGCTTTTCACTTGTTGATGCTCAGTATAACTGAAATGCTACGACGCTTCAATGTCGCTCTCATCACCCGCATCATCATGATCACCATCAGCTAATTGACATTATTATTATTATTATTATTATCAATACTTACAGTTTAATTTAAAAAAATTCTGATTCAAAGAATAATTCCTTTTCTTCAGTTATTCTTTATTCACTTTTATTTTTATTTCTTTTGATTAATTGGTGTAATTTAATTAGCATAAATTTTAAAATATTTATGAGTTATTGATGAAGAAGAATATGCTTTCCGATAATCACTTTTTTTCTCCAGCCTCTACAATCGTCAATCAACCTCCAATTCATGAATGTCTGACAGGAGTGTACACTCTGAAATTCTGATGAGAAATAGCAGTGGGGTAGGGTACATCATCAGACGTGAAGAACCTAGAAGACCTGGATTTCGCGCGTGGATGATTTATGTTTGATTTTACTGTTACAAAATGGAAGACTTACAAGCGAAAACCGACCGACAAACTGGTCGAAGAAGCAGCCAGCAAAGACAGGACTCCAGGTGAACATAGAAAAGACGGAGGTTATGAAAACAACCAACCAACAACAACAACTACAACAACAGCAGCAACATCCAGCGTCAATCACCATCAACGCGAGGGATTTGAAAGAGGTTACTTCATTCACTCACTGATCTAGGGAGCATTGTCTCAACTACAGATAGTCGGAACGGACGAGGATGTCAAATCGAGCGAGAATCGGGAAGGTGAGAAACACATTCATCAACCTGAAACAACCAATCTGGAAATCTTCGTCACTCAGCCAGTATCAACAGTAAAATTCGGTCGGATTTTCAATACAAACAACGTCAAGTCAGTCAGTTCTTCTATACGGATCAGAAAGCGGCTAAGGAGGCCGCTGGGTAACATCGGGCGTCAGGCCATCGCCTGAGTGGAACCCGAAAGGGAAGCGGCGAGTGGGTCGTCAGTGCAAGGGTGATATGGAGGAGTTGGTGTGAAGAGTAGTTGAAACAGTATGGACTAACATGGATGCAGATGAAAAGTACAGCAGAAGGAAGACAGCAGTGGCAAGTGGAGACGTGCAGTTGAAGCTGTATGTTCCAATAGGAACTCAAGGGAACAATAATAATAATAGGGTACATCATCTCAGCATAAAATGGATGTTCATCATCATTGATATTAGTTAGCGAAATCGACAGAAGTTACAATTTATGATTCCTTGAATTCCCATCGAGTGGTTAATTCCTAAACGACGTAGCCAGCATACATTGATGGTTGATTGTCTGATAGCTAGTTGAACTATCCATATGCAGTGATGAAGAATTCGAAGTTGAGAGGAAAGAAGTGTTCAGTGCTTCCTGGTTTACAATGCTTCTCTGAGTGATGGTTGTTTGTGATAAAATTTGCAATGAAATATGTATAACGGCTAAGGAATGACTGTTACTAAAAATAGTATGATCCTAATAATAATAGCTTTATTCCAAACAGGTACTTTTAGTACAAATATGGAATTTTAGCATTTAGTAGTACATTTAGGGTGGGGGTGCGGTGAAGAAGTAAAGTCAGAATACCAGAATTTAAAAAATGGTAACAGTAAAGACAGAATGATACCAGGTCGTCTTAACTTCCTAACGTAGAACGTCAAACGAAACATCTTTTTGGAGACTAACATGAAGTGGAAAGACCCAGGAAGATGATCAGAGGAAATACATAGTTAAAGATGTGTAACAATCGATTTGGTTTCCACTTCGCTGCCATCTGTGGTAGCAAAGCTCCATTCGACTCAACCAGTTCATGTACTGCTGAATCACTTTTTTATTCTTTTACTTTCCCAGTGGAAAATAGAGCTTCAAGCTAGAGGCTTGAAGTTCCTATAGCAGTAGTGATCACTTTTACAGGATTGGGTTGCTAGCCTCAATTCCAACCTTCCCTCTTTACCAGTCATATTGCTGGCTTAGTGGGGTAAAGCAGTAAGCCGGCAGGGGATTGAAAACCGGACCACATACGTGGTTGCCGGGCATTTAATCCTTGTGCAACCAACGCACATTTTAAAATTGGCACATTCATTTCAGGTGACACATTAAAAAGCCAGAAAAATCAGTCAAAAATTATATTACAAGATACTCATTAGGATCAACAATTCATGAGGTATATGTAAGTAAATTATCAATGAATCACAGTTCAAAACGTTTGTGTATGTGATGATGCATTAAATTGAGCTTTGGTTATCAAAATAAGCGAATCAACTTAGCCGTAGGGTAGATTATGAATTGATTAAATGTGCTACAATTTCGCCTGTGTAACTATGCAAAATTTAGTGAACTGACTCATCTTTGTACTCTCGGTCGAATCGACAACTCTGCTGAAGAGCTCAGTAATTGTCAAACGAGCGACACAGGCGTCAAGTGTTTAGAACCCTTCGATCTGGCTAGTGAGTACTATTGGTTAATGTAAGTGGTATGCAACTACTCACCTCAGACAATCAGTAGTACATAACGTGTAAATAAATAATCATTAAGCACAATGAATATGTAATTTTGATGAATATTCATGAGTATTGTTCACATTGAATTTTATTCGGCTTTATTATACACTTCATATAGACGGATGATAACATGAAAAATAGAGAGAAAATCGGGCAGAAGGTTGTGTGTGTGTGTGTCTGCAGTGTGCAAGTTAAATAGTCATGAAGTTTACGAAAATATGTGGTTTGATCACACAGGCGTGAAGGGACGAAGGCGTGAGTGAATCACATGTACTTCTGATATACAGGACTTAAAGGTGCAGTACATTATAAATTCCACGGTAAGTCTGTTTTAGACGAATTACTATGCCTTCTGTTGTTCCAAATATTCAGGACCTAGTAACGTTTGGTAATTTATTCAGTGCACGATAGACGATAGAAACTTATTCTTCAATGTTGGTTTTATAGTCTGTTTGGATCAGGTGTGATAATATCGATTAGTTAGTGCTTTTTATTACATTTTTATTTAACCCTAGTGGTAGGTGTTCCCGAGCACTATAAGTGTCATTTTGTCTATTATTTGATTCCTCCGTGTTCCTAGGGGGAAATATGACTGCAATGAAGAGCTTTGAAGTTTTGGCAGCAGTAGTGTTTTATTTTCATGGGGTTGGGTTGCCAGCCGTCCCTCTTTACCGGGCTTACCACCAACTTAGCGAGGTTTAGGAATGCGTCAACTGTAAATCGAACCCCCAGACCACATTTGTAGTTGGCGAGGGTTCTACCCCTGAACCACTGACGCACTCTTTGTCAGTGAACGTCATTCTTTGTTATTTCTCACAATGAAATGTATGGCTGACGATCGGATTCATCATTTCGTGTTCTACAAAGCCTACAGAGAATTGTCATCTGAAGTGGTGATAATTAGTCTTCATCTTTTCTCAATTTCATCATAAATGGACTAATAGAATTCACCCTAATTAACTTTAGTGACTTAGAGATTGAATTAATAGCAAAGGAGTATGTGGATGATTTTGTCTACCTAAGTGAAGATATTAATACAATTTAAAAATCTTATGAACACTTTGAGAAGATATATTTGAATGTTTGGCATGCGATTTGCTCACATCAAATGTGAGATGATGTTGCAGGACTGGACTGGACTGACTCCAAGCCTAGGGATAGGAAGTGAAGTGGTGGAGCATGTTTACCGCTTTACTTATTTCAAAAAAAAATTTGCGTTAGCTTCAGTGCACAGGCTGAATTTTGACAAAGTCTCTGCAAAGATATAAAATGCTCTTGTAGCATTTGTCAACCTACATCATCTCTGGTGTGGGCGCGAAATCTAGCTATCGATCGCAGGGAAGTGTGTACTCCACAGCAGTTTTCTCTGTACATCCTTATGTCTGTGAGACATGGTCACTGAAAGTGGAAGATATGTAAAGACTAGATGTCTGCGTTCCGTCTTCTCTGTTGATTGTTATGATACAGTGAGTAATACTGAGGTTAGACGTCGAGCGTAAGCAGGCTAAATCAACTGATAAGGTTGTGAAGCTTTACCGACTGAGATGATCAAGATGTGTGTTGAGCACGCCGAATGGGAAGCCATACGGGGAAGGTAGACAGGTATACGTTGGTCTAACAAGAAGACTCCATTAGATTTAGACTTCGTATATGGTTTACATCTAATATTATAGGAACTAGAAGATCCACAGGCGAAATCCTGTCTCATCACTCTTCACAGTGTGATGCATGATCCATTCCACTGAGATTAGAAGTGTTATTGGTGATAATAGGTAACCAGCCTTATCTTACTCTTGTATTCACTTCGAACGCATCGCTAAGTTTTCCCTTGTGGATCACCTGACACGTGGCATTGTCATACAGCCAGTTGTTGAAGTAGGTTGGTGGTTATTTTGGCGCTCCACGAATTGTTGTTGAATTGGTCTCGAAATTTCCTCCCGGCCAACTCTGTCGAAGGTGTTTCCACAGTCGCTGAAATTGAGGTAGAGTTTTGACTGTCATTCTGTGCCGTATTCCATGAAGATGTGTAAAGCTGCATTTTGATCAGCACATGATATACCTTTCCCGAATCTAGTTTGTTCTGGCCGGTGGATGGAGTTCTGCACCTACTGCATCTCCTATTCTCTCCAGGATCAAACGACTTTGTATCTTACTTGGTGTGGACAAGAGCACTATTTCATGCTAGTCAGTTCCTTCAAAGTGAGGCGTAAGTCGGCCTTCTTTGGTAGCTTGATAAGGTAGCCAGTCATTCTTCCAATCGGTAGGTGCCTTTCCTTCTTTCCAAACCTTTGGCAATAATGGCGTCAGCATATCTCGCGTAGTTGTTGTGTCTGTTTTCAGTACTTCGGCTGGGTGGGAAAATTCCGTCGTATCCTGCTGCCTTAACAGACTTACATCGCTATTGGATTGATTTCCGGTGTTTATTAATTAGCCATATATCCAACATTCCGGCTTTTTCCAGGCTTAGGACAGGTGCTTGAACTAGTGAGTTATTAGACTTGGCTTGGTTATTACAATCAGCTAGTAATTCCGGAGTGTGGAATATTTCATGTAGGAAAGGATATTACGCTGCTCAGTTTGTTGAAACAATTACTGTTCGCTAAATGGCTTTTTCAAACGGTTAGTC